TTTTCAGCGGGAAGTTTTTGTTTGGTTCCCAGAACGTTCTTCTGAAAGGTAGGATAACGTTCTCTAAAAACATTCTTCAAATGTTTTTGATAACATTGTTAGAACTATAATTAAAACGTTTTCAGCTGCAAGTTAGATTTGTTTATGTTGCCAGAATGTTATTATTTTAGAGAAGGATAACATGGTTTATGTTAAGAAAAGTATGCAAATGTTCTGTGGTAACAATTTACTAAAATATGTTTACATTATTAGAACATAAAGACATAATATTCCTGTAATTGTTCGACTCAAAATTCCTGGGTAAATGCACTGACCACTGTGGTCATTAGGATGATTATGATAGTTTACTTAACTATTGGAATTTGACTATTAACACATGTAAAAGGATGACTCGGAATCAGCTGGTGAAAGTAACATTTGTTTATTAGAAAAGGGGAGCTGGGAGTGGAGGTTGGTTATGGCTGCAGTGGGAAACAGTTGTTCCAGGGTGGGTAGAGAGGCCTGGCTGGTCTTGGGAGTGTGGAAGGCCTTGGATTCCTCCTGGGAGAGACACAAAAATGAGTGTGAGGCAAAAGCAGGCAAAGTTGTCAAAGAATATGCTGGTAAAAAGCTAGAGCGACACGCAAAAAAACCATTCACGGCAACAATCCTGCAGGGAATGAGTGCAGGCTGCAGGTTTTCATAGTGTGGCTGATGAGCAGGTTGCAGGTGTGGTTGATTGGAGATTGCTCCCAGCCGTGTAGAGCAGACCAGCAGGCAGGTGTGGGGGGGGGGGGGGGGCACTAACCCACTAACCCACTAACCCACTAACCCACTAACCCACTAACCCACTAACAGGGGTTTCAGGGACGGGCAGTGATAGTCGGTCCATTCTTCTATATGTCTGTCTTTGGTTTTCTAAGTGTTATTCGATCCATATGACCATAGAGATATGTGCATAAACAACAAAAACACTTGGGGTATAATGTTCGAACAATGTTATCACCAAACATTTTAAGAATGTTTTTAGAGAACGTTATCCTACCTTTCAGAAGTACATTCTAGGAACCAAAATAAAACTTCTCGATGAAACCATTCCTAGAACAATGAATGGTAACATTCTCAGAATGTTTTTAGAACCAACAATGTCTAGCTGGGAACTCAGACATGCCTACGCAAACGTGCAATATCATGAATTACGTGCTTGTTTTTTTCTAAAATCGAAAATGTGGTGACATCAGATTTCTTTTAAATATCCTTTTCAAACAAATGCAGCAAGTTTGTTTTTTAAAGCGCCCTACAAATAAATCTGACGTTGACCATGACCCTGTTAATATTTCGCAACACAGGAACATTTTATAAATAAATAATAACCTCCTGAAAACATTATCCAAATGTTACTTTCAAATGTTCTTCTTTGGTTATCATGTAACATTGAGGGACCGTTTTATAAAGAACATCTTTAATGTGTTACCCAACAACGTCCAAAACACATCCTTAGAATGTTGGAGGCAAAACGTTCCACCTTTGTTAACATATCACATTAAAGGAACATTTTATAAAACACTTTCTGTCATCTCAGGCGTCATAACATCCTGAAAATATTTTCAGAATGTTGCTTGGAGAATGTTCTTTATTTGTTTTCATGTAACATTAAAGGAACATTTTATAAAAAAATAATAACCTCCTGAAAACATTATCCAAATGTTGCTTTCAAAATGTTCTTCTTTGGTTATCATGTAACATTGAGGGACCGTTTTATAAAGAACATCTTTAATGTGTTACCCAACAACGTCCAAAACACATCCTTAGAATGTTGCAAGGAAAACGTTCCACCTTTGTTAACATATCACATTGAAGGCACATTTTATAAAACACTTTCTGTCATCTCAGGCAAGGCAAGGCAAGGCAAGTTTATTTATATAGCACTTTTCAACACAAGGCAATTCAAAGTGCTTTACAAAAAATGAAAGACATTAAGAAAATGGCATTTAAAATCAGTCATTAAAAAGAAAAGCTAATAAAATAAACATTAAAAGAAAAAATACATGGATAAAAGTTTCAGTGCAGTCTAAGATATGAATAGTTCAATTAAACATTAAAAGAAAAAGTACATGGATAAAAGTTACGGTGCAGTCTAAGATATGAATAGTTCAATTAAAAGCAGCGACAAAAAGAAAAGTCTTCAGCCTGGATTTAAAAGTAGTCAGAGTTGCAGCGGACCTGCAGGTTTCTGGGAGTTTGTTCCAGATATTTGGAGCATAATAACTGAACGCTGCTTTACCATGTTTAGTTCTGACTCTGGGGACAGAAAGCTGACCAGTCCCTGAAGACCTGAGAGAATGGTTCATAATTTAGCAGGAGGTCAGAAATGTATTTTGGGCCTAAACCATTCAGTGCTTTATAAACCAGCAGCAGTATTTTGAAATCTATTCTTTGACACACAAGAAGCCAGTGTAAAGACTTCAGAACAGGAGTGATGTGATCCACTTTCTTAGTGTTAGTGAGGACTCGAGCAGCAGGGTTCTGAATCAGCTGCAGCTTCCTAATAGATTTTTTAGTGAGACCTGTGAAGACACCATCGCAGTAGTCGAGTCTACTGAACATAAAAGCATGGACAAGTTTTTCCAAATCCTGCTGTGACATTAGTCTTTTAATCCTAGATATATTCTTTAGGTGATAGTAGGCTGATTTAGTAACTGTTTTAATGTGACGGTTGAAACTCAGGTCAGAGTCCATGACTACACCTAGATTTCTGGCTTTATCTGTTGTTTTGAACATTGCAGACTGAAGCTCAGCGCTAACTTTTATACGTTCTGACTTGGCTCCAAAAACCATTACCTCAGTTTTATCTTTGTTTAATTGGAGAAAGTTCTGACACATCCAGTCATTGATTTGTTCAATGCACTTACTCAGTGTTTGAATTGGAGCATAGTCTCTTGGTGAAATTGTTACGTACATTGGTGTGTCATCTGCATAGCTATGGTAACTTATTTTGTTGTTTTTCATTATCTGAGCCAGTGGTAGCATGTAGATGTTAAAGAGAAGAGGCCCCAAGATGGAGCCTTGAGGAACCCCACATGTCATATTTGTCAACTCAGATGTGTATTTACCTATAGAAACAAAGTTGTTTCTGTCCTTTAAGTAGGATTCAAACCAATTTACGTGTAGAACTGTTTCCGAAAGTCCCATCCAGTTTTCCAGTCGGTCTAGTAATATGTTGTGGTCAACAGTGTCAAACGCAGCACTGAGATCTAATAATACTAACACTGAAGTTCTGCCACTGTCTGTGTTTAAGTGGATGTCATGAAAGACCTTTACAAGAGCAGTCTCAGTGCTGTGGTTTGGACGAAAGCCTGACTGGAACACATCGAAACAGTTATTTAAATGCAAGAAATTACTCAACTGTTGAAAAACAACTTTTTCAATGATTTTACCTAGAAATGGGAGGTTTGATATGGGCCTGTAATTGTTCATTACTGAAGCATCTAGATTATTCTTTTTTAAGAGCGGTTTAATGACTGCAGTTTTCAGGGCCTGTGGAAAAATACCTGAGTGAAGAGATTTGTTTACTATATGAAGTAGATCTGAGGCCATGCAAGGCAAAACATCTCAGGCCTCAATAACATCCTGAAAACATTTGCAGAATGTTGCTTGGAGAATGTTCTTCATTTGTTATCATGTAACATAAAGGAATATTTTATAAAACCCTTCTGTCATCTCAGGCCTCAATAACATCCTGAAAACATCCTCTGAATGTTGCAGTTAAAACGTTATGTCTTAGTTAACCTTAAACCTTATAGGAACATTATTTGAAAAAATAAACATCCTAAAAGGTTCTTTGAACATCAGATTAAAACGTTTCTTTAAAACCTTATTAGAACCAATAGGTAACGTTAGCCAAAGTTGTGAGAACGTTCCTCGCTAGCTGGGAAGACCCATTGCTGGTATGATAACAACCTGGTACTAAGCACACAGGCATCTTGTTAAAGTTATCTTATGGCCAGCGCCATATAGATAGATTATATCTATATGGCGCTGATCTTAGCTATCTCTTAGTGGAGGAAAACAATTGTGCCATCACTTACGCAACTCTGGGATTTGTAGTCTGTCTAGTTGCGTATTTTTCATAGTCTTATATTTCAACAATTTTACGACAAACTGTGACTTTTTTTGACATGGAAATTATTTTTTAAGATTGACAAACATCATATGTGTAATTCATGGCACAATTCAAACGGGATCGAAAGATAAGTTTTCTCTCTCCATTGACTTCAATACATTATTTTTCCGAAATAAGTTCCCATGGACCGGAAGTAGATGGGCGTGACTTCGCCACAGAACCGCAGTGACGCGTCATAAAACCCGGAAGTAAACTCCTTCCGGTTCCTTCGACAAAAATGCAATGCAATTTCTCCGTAGGATTTTGGAAAATAGCTCGAAATAAGGTCTGTGGTTGACACACATTTAAGAAAACGTTTTGTTCAGCCGGATCATTTCCACATGTCTACCCTACTTTTATAATTTTCTAATCATAAATCTAGTCGCCAGAAGCAAAATGCTAACGTTATGCTATAAACGAACTACAGCAGGGTCGCTGATTCAACGTCACGCCGACTTAAGATCCATATTCAAAAATACAGATTCAACATTGTACAAGTTAAAGCATTTGTTTTAATAGTTTGCAGGAGGCAGGTACTTGCTTTCAAGCAGAACAGGGCAAACAAACTTAGCGGGAGTGTTTTACGTGTTCGGTGTAATGACGTAAAACGGCCTCGACAACTTCTGTAGTCCTATTCAGCCACTTGTTAACCATCGTTTTTCAGACACGTTAACTCTTCAAAAATCACCAGTGGGGTCACCGCTGATGTATTTAATGTCATAGAACAAAACGTGATCTGTCTCTTTAATTTGTGTCAAACACAGACCTTATTTCGAGCTATTTTCCAAAATCCTATGGAGAAATTGCATTGCGTTTTGTGTTTTGTCTAGAGGGAACTTTGGGATTTTACATGCTCAAAAACCTATGTAACACACTACAGGGAAGGTGAATCTCCAAAAAAGCATAATAGGGCCCTTTAAAGTATTTTTACCCATTTTTCTTTCCATGTCATGCTTTTACGTGGGCGTCTGTGGCTCAGGGGGTTGATGGTCATCCTCCAACCGTAGGTCAGCGGACCCCAGCCCCTGCAGTCAACATTTTGATGTGTCCTCGGGCAAGTTACTTAACTCTAATTGATCCCTGAGCAGGTGGCACTTTCTATGGCAGCCTCTGCCTCTGTGTGAATGGGTGAAAGCTGACTTGAATATGTAAATCGGGGGAAAAGCACTGTAGAAATGCAGTCAATTTACCATTTTTCTTCTTCACACTGTTTTATTTAGATTTAGCCGTGTACATGTTGTGCCCAGCATTACCTACTATCAGCTCAACTAGGAAAACCACACTCTCTGTTCATCACTTTGTCCTGAGTGAACGGAGGTAATAAAAGACAGAGCAGGGCGTTACGAGGCAATACCCTGATGTTGATAAGTTGTAAACCCGACAGTGATATGACAGGAAGCTGAGCAGTCACTGTCAGCAGGAGTGCCACGGCATGCTGAACAGTCAGTTTGACTGGATGTGTTTAAATGGAAAAGGAGATGTCAGACAGAGGGACTGCTCATTGTGTGGTAGAGTTGCCGCTGAGGATCTTCAGATTTCTTTGTGTTTAAATGAGAGAAGGTGATAAACGCGTATCACCTAGGTGGTAAAAAGGTTGTTTATTTGAATCAGTGTGGGACAAGATAAACAACCTGAGGTCACTGTGTCAGTCCGTGCCTGATACCGATGTGCTCAGAGGGGTTTATAGGTTTTATAGTCACAGATCAGTGTGATACTTGACTGTACAACCCACTTTTTGTATGCGTGTCTCCCGTAGGAAAGGATACTCAATTTGAAAAAAACGATTTAAAATTGTTTTGACTAATATGAAAACAAAAATGCAGGAAGGATGGATCATTTTCGCAGCATTATTCTCATTATGATGAAATTAAATAATCAGTTGTAGAGGAACTAGAATACTATTATCAGGTGGGGATATGTCTGCAGCTCCACAATACTTAATTTCAAATATTGTATTGTATAATAATATTGTATATATTTACATTTAGATTAATTGTGCAAGACCTAGCTTTAGGCATGAGGAGCTTGTAAAGCACTTATAATAGTATCTAATCCGATGGTCTTTGACTTAAAATGTTTTATATTTTCTAGCACAAACACAATACAAACATCCAGGCAGTCACTTCCTGGTTTGTTAAGTCTCAGTTTGTAACTCTCTGCTGCCACCTGCTTGAGACAACCACGTTTCTGTGATAACTGTTCTTGGTGCTTTCTCCAGCACAGCCATATTTATGTGTATAGAATATGTTTGACTCATTTCTCATTGGTTGTATCTCAACAGGATTTGGTAGACTGGCGGAAGCCCCTGGCATGGCAGGTGGGCCACCTGGGAGAGAAATACGATGCGTGGGTCCACCAGCCAGTCGACAGACCCATCAGACTGTTTGGAAACCCCTTACTGGAGGCCGGCACCAAGACCTCATGGTAAGAGACTTGATGAATAATATACCGGTAGCCACCAACTGTCCCCACCCACCTGTAAATCATATTTCCAACAGTTAACAACCACTCACAACAAATTCCAATCACAACGCTCAAAAAGTAAACTCGCACAAAGGCCATGTGCTTGAGCTCCGTCCATTGAGACAGACCTCCCAGCTAGAAATGTTTGGTTCTAAAAACATTCTGAGAATGTTATCATTCATTGTTCTAGAAACGTTTTCAGCGGGACGTTTTCTTTTGGTTCCCAGAATATTCTTCTGAAAGGTAGGATAACTTTCTCTAAAAACATTCTTAAAATGCTTGGTAATAACCTTTTTTAATTGTTTTTGATAATATTGTTAGAACATTATGCCTTACTATTCTTAAAACGTTTTCAGCTGCAAGTTAGATTTTTTTATGTTGCAAGAATGTTATTATTTTAGAGAAGGATAACATGGTTTATCGTTCCGATTTATCAGAAGTCTTTTCTTTCTTTTTTTAAAATGCGACCAGCAGCTAGTACAAGTCACTGTCGGTGTCACATGTACTGGAGGGGACCCAGAGTCAGACTCGGAATCAGCTGGTGAAAGTAACATTTGTTTATTAGAAAAGGGGAGCTGGGAGTGGAGGTTGGTTATGGTGGCAGTGGGAAACAGTTGTTCCAGGGTGGGTAGAGAGGCCTGGCTGGTCTTGGGAGTGTGGAAGGCCTTGGATTCCTCCTGGGAGAGACATACAAATTAGTGTGAGTCAAAAGCAGGCAATGTTGTCAAAGAATATGCTGGTAAAAAGCTAGAGCGGCACGCAACAAACCGTTCACTGCAACAAACCGTTCACGGCAACAATCCGGCAGGGAATGAGTGCAGGCTGCAGGCTTTCATAGTGTGGCTGATGAGAAGGTTGCCGGTGTGGTTGATTGGAGATTGCTCCCAGCCATGTCGAGCAGACCAGCAGGCAGAGAGAGAGAGACACACAGTAGAAACAAACACATACAAACACTAACAGGGGTTTCAGGGACGGCAGTGACAGTCGGTCCGTTCTTCTATATGTCTGTTGGTCTCAAATCTAAAGGGTGCAATAACGATTTTTATCCAATATGCATAAACAGCGGACACTGTTTATACGCAGCCCTCACAAACCACACACGGCCAGATAGCTTATCTGACAGTTATAACCTACATACGAGACACAACCTTTATAGTCAGAAAAAAGTGTGATTATTTTCTGATATTTTACACATGATATTATGAATACTGTGGGCCTACATACCTTAGTGTGATTATTAGTGCATGTGAGTGAATATTGGCATGCAAATTCGTTTTTACACGTCCTATTCATTGTCTCAATGCACTCATACATCTTAAGAAAGTTATCACCAAAAATGTTAAGAATGTTTTTAGAGAACGTTATCCTACCTTTCAGAAGAACATTCTGGGAACCAAAATAAAACGTCCCGCTGAAAACATTCATAGAACAATGAATGGTAACAAACATTTCTAGCTGGGAACTCACACATGCCACCGCAAACATGCAATATCTGCTTACAGCTTATCATGAATTACGTGCTTGTTTGTTATTTTCTAAAATATGGTGACATCAGATTTTTTTTCAAAACATCCTTTTCAAACAAATGCAACCAATTTGTTTTTTAAAGCGCTCTAGAAATAAATCTAATGTTGACCATGACCGTGTTAATATTTGCCATCACAGGAACGTTTTATAAAAAAAGAATAACATCCTGAAAATATTTTCAGAATGTTTCTTGGAGAATGTTCTCAATTTGTTATCATGTAACATTGAGGGAACGTTTTATAAAGAACATCTTTAATGTGTTACCCCAACAACGTCCAAAACACATCCTTAGAATGTTGCAGGCAAAACGTTCCACCTTTGTTAACATATCACATTAAAGGAACATTTTATAAAAAAACGTTCTGTCATCTCAGGCCTCAATAACATCCTCAAAACATCCTCTGAATGTTGCAGTTAAAACGTTATGTCTTAGTTAACCTTAAACCTTATTGGAACATTATTTGAAATAATAAACATCCTAAAAAGGTTCTTTGAACATCAGATTAAAACGTTTCTTTAAAACATTATTTGAACCTGTAGGTAATGTTAGCCAAAGTTGTGAGAACGTTCCCCGCTAGCTGGGCTAGCTCCACAAAATCCTAATAGTGTAAAGTAACTCCTTATATATACTGTATATATATATATTTAGGATTGTGTTAATGGCCAACATGATGTTTATCCAATCAAAAATATGCATTGGTTTTATTGACACAAATGTTCCAGGATGATACAAAAACTAAAGCGATACGTTGTGATGCAATAATGGCGATTAAAGTGTTGCTGCAGGGGACTTATAGTAGGACACTTGTTGGTACGTGGAAAGGTCCCAAGATCCTCAGTTTATCCGGAAAAATCCTCAAACGGTGTGATGCTGAACCTTAGTTTATTCACCGTTGCCTACCTCTAATCTGAGTCAGTATAGCATTGCATGCTGGGATTGAGAGTTTATTAAAAATAGTTTCTAAGTGAAAATACAAAGCTAAAAGTGCGAAATAAATTGGGAAATGTCCAGTCTTGTTCATTCAAAGTGTCTACGGTGGCACATTAGGCCAAAGCTATTGGAACAAAATTAAGCAAATATCTAAACATTAACCACAAAACCTCTATATCCCCATGACAAGTCCACTCCTATATAATTCTCAGTGTCTGATGAAACATTTGTATCGTAATGAAGGGATGCCATCTCAATTGGCTGTTCAAACATCTTTTTTGAACATTGTACCATAAAGAAACAGTTGTAGTCAATGATTCCTAAACATATTTTAACCCTGACAGCAATGAGCTGTTGCACTCCAAATCCCTTTTATAGTGTTCTACACAATCATGTAAGCAGCTTTTTAACTAACCCATTAAGTATTTTAAGATTAAGGTTCCTGCTCCTCTGAGGCCGCACCACACTCAGTGTGCTATGATATATAAAACAAACATGAGGAAAATAATAAAAGTGTGACCAGTATGCTAAATGCTCTTTTGTTGCAGGTATTGGGTTCCAGTGGTGTGGCTTCCTATTGTGTTTTATTACAGTTGGTACTGCTACACCACGCTGGCAAAGGGCACCACCAGGCTAGAACTCACTTCAGGTAACACACACACACACACACACACACACACACACACACACACACACACACACACACCACACACACACACACACACACACACACACACACACACACACACACACACACACACACCACACACACACACACACACACACACACACACACACACACACACACACACACACACACACACACACACACACACACACAGGTGAGTAGCTAAATAATGTGGGACTCCTGCTTTAACAGTTTCTCCCTGCACTGTGTGTACACAAAGTACACTGTGTCAACAATACAAAGCTATAAAACAAGTTTAAAGTTAACAAGGCGGCATCTTCAATGAATGTGTTTACCTTTTAAAGTTAAACCTACTTTTACTATATTGTAGTTTTGCCACATGTCCAAAAATCTGGTGTGAATATTTGTTCTGACGTAAAATGATGTATAACTATTACATCATACCTTGTATCTTGCACTGGAAAAGCCTGGGAATAGCCAACAATTATACTTTGTCACTATTGTACATGACAATAAAACCTGTGACTCAAATCAAATAATCTTATCTGTTTATGAGATACTTTTTAATGTTGTGCAGTAGCTCTGCTCTGTTTTGGTCCTGTTTTCCAGTGTACCACTCAGTATAACACATGACACGCCTGTTTATGTGGCACGTGGGTTTGGTTATTAAAATCACACCACAATAGAGCTCTGTGATGGGTGTGTTCGAAGCACATGATTTATTTTACATGGCACCTAAACACTCAAACTGGTACTACAGGGCTTAACTCACACACACACACACACACACACACACACACACACACACACACACACACACACACACACACAGGCATAATAAACACATATATTAAAAATATATTGTCATAATTTTTTCTGTTCAGTTAAGGTGTGTATTAATCTAAGTCATTTGTGTGTGTGTTTCCCAGACTTTTCTATCCCGATCCATAAGTACTTGTTCCCCCTGCTCTTTCTGATGGGCTGGTTCTTGTGGTCGTTCATCGAGTACTGCATCCATCGCTTCGTCTTCCACATGAAACCCCCGGCCCATAACTACTACCTCATCACGATACACTTCCTCCTGCACGGACAGCACCACAAGGTACGTACACACACACACACACACACACACACACACACACACACACACACACACACAGGGACGGGCAGATCTCATGAGCATGAAACTGGTTTAATTGTTAATCAACATTTAGTACTTTATGGCACAATAAAGGAATATCTTTTTCTGTTTCTGTGACTGACAACTGTTTCCCAATCCCCATAGAGTAGTTTCAATTTTACTTTTTTATTTTACTGATCTGAGTGCGCATGTATTGTTATCAGTAGTTAAATTGGCCAGTTGTCGTTTATGATTCTCTTAAAACAAACTTTCTTTTGTGCTTTTGTAAAGCTGAAAAACAAATAGCAGTAATAAACTTTATTTATATAGCAAAAACACAAAGTTTCAAAGTCCTTTGAAGTCAACAAATGGCAGACAAACAATAATAAAACTATTTTCCGGATAATCCGGATTTAAATAAGATTGAAAGCACCCAGTCCTCAGCGTAGATCGCAGAATTGGTAGCTGAGGACCTTGCCGAGCTTCTTAACATTTAATAAACTATGAATGTATCATATCCACTTAACTTAACGGGAAGAAACTCAGCTATCAGACAATATTAACAATTTTTAGCAAAACGAAACATAAGGGTAATAACAAAGGCTCTGAATTAGCCCTGAGCGAAAAAATGCTAACACACTTAGCACATATCTCACATTAAAATACCTTTATTACTTATCAAATCTGCACAAATAAGATATCAATTAGCAAGCTGAGATTCCACAGATTCCAGACATATAAGTATCATCACTGAGCGATCAGAACTCGCGGCGAAATGACAACAAACAATAACAAAAAAATGTGCTTTACGGGACCAAATCGGAAAATAAGTCTTACCGTTGCTGTTGTTCTGATCAAAAGTTGTGTTCAATGGCATTAAAACGAAAAAAACGCTGCTGAAGGTTAATCCATAGGTTAATCCAATGTGTCATTGTGTCACTTTGAAATTATTACTGATAATCCATCATTCCATTTTTATGTCAATAACGGAGATTTCATATTAGCTGCTACGATAGCTGCTAGAGTGTATGACGCATTCCGGTTCCGGGGAATTCTGGCTATGCATCACTCATTCACCAATGGGTAATGTTTAGATGGATTTTAGGAACTTCCCCTCGATTCTATTGGCTCTAACGGTTAAAATCATCAAAATCAACCGACGGGGGCCAGAGATATGGAAAATGCACCCAAATGACCCCAGAAGTGGGTTTTGTTTCCTAAGATTATTAATTTACCCCTTTTAGAAGTGAAAGTATAGTCATTTGTTCTGGGAATGTCATTTTCGAGCCTGAGACCTGAAAAACAGGCTCGGGGCTTAACTGGGACTGCGGTTGTTATCATAGATGACACTAATATTTGTACAGTTTTTGGGCTATAATGTGGTTTTCCATCTCTGTGCGATAAACAATAGTTATTACCTCAGTCTTATCAACATTTAAATTTGTCGGCCATCTAGCTTTTGTTCAAAAAGTGCACCTGTTGAGTATATTCATTTGACAACAACTATCATGTACAATGTCATCTGCATGGGTGTTGAAGTCCAATTGTGCCTGTGGATGACACAGGTGGTGCTGAATTAGCTGGAGTTTTTAGATTGACTGTTTTGGTAGACCTGTAAAAAGAGCTTTACAATAGTCCATCCTACTTAAAATGAACAGATGAATGAGTTTTTCAGCATCATCTTTATTGAAAAATGGGCTGACTTTGGCAATTTTTCTCACTGCATAATATCTGTCTCCACAGTCTCCGTTCGACGGCGCTCGGCTGGTCTTCCCCCCCGGCCTGGCCTCCTTAGTGGTGGGAAGCTTCTATCTAATCCTCCTCAGCACGCTCCCGCAGATCCTGGGGACCTCCGTGTTTGTAGGAGGACTGTGCGGCTACGTGGTGTACGATATGATCCACTACTACCTTCACTACGGGTCGCCAAAGAAGGGCTCCTATATGTACGGCCTGAAGGCCTACCACGTCAAACACCACTTTGAGCACCAGAAAGCAGGTGAGCACCTGAAACCAGAGGGTATTACTTGATAGGGTCATCCATTAATTAGTCGGTCAGTAGTTCCAACCCCAGTCTCCTCAGTAAAGATGTTTCATTGTGTCCTTGGTAGGGGTGTAACGGTATCCGTATTCGTCCCGTACCGTCACGGTTCGGACGTCACGGTTCGGCACATGCAGTCACACGGCGAATACGCCTTTTTTTACGAGTGGGAAAAAAGTCTGTCACTCAGGGCAGTATTACACTATATATAATCCAGGGGGCGGTATTGCGCCTAAAAGCCAGCCGCCCGTAAATAACAAATGAAGAACAAGAACAAAACACAACAAAACGAACACAATACATGAAGAAGAACAGTTAGTAGCTATGGCGAGTTCACACAACACACAGGAGCTAGAAGACCCACCTGCTTCTTTTAAATCAGCTGTGTGGGAACATTTCGGGTTCCCTGTGGACTACAACAATGATGGGGTGCGAGTTGTAGATCGGACGAGGACGGTGTGTCGGCGTTGTTCGACAGCGGTGCGGTATGCTAGTGGTAACACGTCAAACATGCTCAATCACATCCGAGTCAGTCTCAGTCCCCAGCGAGAGGATTTTCTCGACGGCAGGTGACATAGTTACCGCCAACAGACCTGCCCTCACTACTGACAACATAGACAAACTCATCTTTTTGAAGAAAATCTTGAAAATAGAGTAAAGCTTGAGTACCTTTATTAGGCATAATGGCCTCACACACTCACAAGTTAATTACACATGTTAGACATTGCTCCTAAAGGTACAGATTTTATTTTGTTTTATATTTATCATTGTATTTATTTTATATTTTGACATCAGGAGATGTTATACAGTTCTGTATTGCCTTTTATTGATTGTGATTGAAACACTTTCTTATTATTTATTTTAATATTTTCAAGACATTCTTTTTAGTTGTAGGCCTACAGCTTATTTAACCTTTTTGTTTGACATCAGCCATTATAAATAATATGGCCATCTGAGTGTGTGTGGTACTGTTTGTGGTTTGTTTTTAACTGTGTAATACAGCTAATGATTCCAAATGTTAGAGTTCTAAACTTGCACTACTGTTAAAAATAAATAACAGCAAAAAAAATTATGCATTTGGAACTTTTTTTTGCTTTTCCTTGTTGTACTGAACCCGTACCGAACCGTGACTTCTGTGAACCGTTACACCCCTAGTTCTTGGGCAAGCTACTGAAGTCCAAATTGCTCTCAATGGAATCACAATCCAAATAAATGATAAAGTAAAAAGATTGATATTATTAATAATTACTTATTTCATAGTGCATTTCATAAACCCAAGGTCACTTTTACAGAGGGAACATAAAGCACAATCTGGGCCAGATCACAGAAGGCATATTAGGCGATGTGCGACAGTGTTTGTGAGGGCAGGGGATGAGTAACTAAGGAAAACAGAGCTCATGATTATGGCCCCCAAGGCGCTGCTTCAGAAGGTGACTTCATCCTTGAGGTTGACGGCTGGTCCATCTGCCCATCTCCTGAAGTCCGCAACCTGGGTGTCATCTTTGACTCCACCCTTTCCTTCCACTCCCACATCAAGTCTGACACCAAATCTCCATTTCTAAATGTCCATTTAAAGAACATTGCCAGACTCCGACCGTCACTCTCGGAGTCGGTTGCAGAAACCTTAGTCCAGGCTTTTGTCACCTCCCGCTTGGACTACTGCAATGGTGTCCTGTTTGGGGTCCCCAACAAAACCCCTGGACAGGCTCCAGTATGTTCACACCTGTACTGCTAGGGTACTGATGCACACAAAGCCATCGCAGCACATCACTCCCACCCTCATCCACCTCCACTGGCTGCCGGTCAAGTCCTGCATAACCTATAAAGTCCTCCTCCTTACCTACAAGTCCCTCCATGCCCATGCCCCCCAGTACTTATCGGACCTCCTCTGCCCACATGCCCCACCCCGGAACCTGCGGTCTTCAGACTCTGGCCTGCTCACCACCCGCACCAACCTGCAAACCCTCAATATGGGCCCTCAAGTCCCATCTGTTTGCCAAGGCCTTCGGCCCCTAATTTATTTGTTGTTTTGTCTGTCTGACTTTTGTTTTTGTTTGTTATTACTCCTGTTTTTGTTTGTAAAGCGACCTTGGGTCCCATGAAAGGCGCTATATAAATCTAAGCTATTATTATTATTATTAATATTAATAAGGTTGGAAGGCTATCTTAAACAGATGAGTTCTCAGGGTTGAATTGAAGATGTCCAGAGAAGGGGCGTTACGGATTTCAGCAGGGAGGGAGTTCCAGAGGGTTGGGGCAGCGACACTGAAAGTACGGTCCCCTAAAGTGCAGAGGCGTGAAGGGGGAATGGGAAGTAGACCAGAGTCTGAGGATGGAAGAGTACGGGATGGGATGTATGGCAGGGGAGATCTGTGAGGTACTGAGAGGGAGGGGCATGGAGGAGGAGTTTATATGTTAGTGGGACTTGACTGGTATATAAACAGGGCTGCATATAACTGGTGCGCAGGTGCGCATGCGCACCTCCGCCAAAAATAGAGCACCGGGTCATTTGAAAAAAGGCGCATTTGCATACCAAAATTGAGAGAGGGAGAGGGATGGAGAGAGAGAAGAGAGAGAAGGGAGAAGAGAAAAGAGAGGAGAGAGGAGAGAAAGATATTTGCGAGTTGCATATGAACTCAGGGTCGGCCCGTAGCACTGGCGTTATAGATGTTCGCCTAGGGCGCCAGATCTGGGGAGGCGCTGCGCTGGCAGTTCTGGGAGGGAAAAAAAACATTTTTGACCGTTGGGGCTCATCCTAATTTTCGGCCTTGATGTAACAATATTCAAAATTAAGTAAATGTAACACCCTTTTCACCCCGGTTACACGTTTCATTTGCCCTGTACGATGGGCGCTGTAAGTGATGAAAATGGGGGATGTTGGCTTATCTGGCGCCCGCAGCTCACAGCCAAAATGCGAGTGAGCGAGGGAGAGAGAGAGAGAAGGGCGCACCTCCCGGTGTTGTTATTAGAATCTGGTGCTAGCTGCTCTAACGGATATAAGAAGAAGATGTTTCTACAATTATGTGGAGGGAGAGTCCTCTCCAGTCAGACTGAGAGGCTGATACAGGGTTCGTACGGGTGCTTGAAATCCTTGAAAATGCTTGAAATTTGACGTGGTGTTTTCAAGGTTGGGAAAGTGCTTGAATTTTGGGAATGGTGCTTGAAATTGAGATAAAGTGCTTGAAAATGTAAATGTTTTACTTTTACAATAAATTGCTGTCTGACTGAATAGTTCGCTTTTTAGATTAAAAGAAAATAATTGCTTCGCTTCTACATAAAACAGCTCCGCTGCGGCCTTCCCGCGCTATGCGCGCGACCTGCAAGTGTTTGTGTTACTGTGACCTGGGCATTCTGATGAGAGTGATAGATGACTGTGTGCAGAGACGTGCACACATAGACTCTAGGTAGTGCTTGAGCACCTGCCCGTTTTGCCCTCTTGACAGCAATGTGCCCTTTTGAAAGTTCTTTTTTTACAGTTTTTTTAAAAGTTTTTTTACAGTGTACTGTATGTGGCTCATGGTAACATCGATCAATTCTGGATTAGAAGCTTCTAATATATACAACAATGCCCCAAATGCGCGTTGTAATTTTGTCAGACATCCCCACACGTGCCCCGCGGCACTCCCATACGTGCTCTGGCTGCAGCCCCTCCCTTCCCTGCTCTCAACGTGAACGCGCAGCGCGCAGAGCTGACAGTCAGACAGGCCACGGAGGGTGTGTGGTGCAGCAGCACGCAGCAACACGATTAAAAGTGCCCTAGTGACGACCAAGTGAGTAACCACCAGGTAACAAATACAACGAGTGTATTGTTTAATCCCCTAAATCAGATGCCAAACTAAACTATACAGGGTTCGTACGGTCATTGAAAACCTGGAAAAGTCATGGAAATTCAAAATGCAAATTCCAGGCCCTGGAAAAGTTATGGAAAACAATATTTTTCCCAAAGTTTTGGAAAAGTCATGGAAATGTAACAAGTTGCGTCAAATATAATTTACATGTTATCTAATCGCCGAAATAATCTGCGGTCGCGAGCTGTTATGTGCCATCATGACGCGCATGGTGTTCTTTTTTAATATATGAAGCGCGAGCTGTGTGCTCGAGTCTTCTTGCCTGTCGGGCCGGCTGAACTCTGCTGCTCCGGGATGAGGGTCAGCTACATTATCTACGGTGCGTTCGTTAACTGTGCGGAGTCACTGTGGCACAGACTGAGCCGCTGGTGAACAGCTGTTAGAACGGGCGTTCAGGTGTTCAGAGCAGAGCGGTAGAGCGTGATGTGAACTGAAAAGTTTTTCTGTCGCAATATCATTGTCACTATCTGCTAACGTTAGCTTTAGCCTTCATTTTCTAATAGTTTTTTTCATAGGCTATAAACAGAGGTGGTATAAGTATAGAGATTGTAGGCTACTAGAGTAAAAGTAGAAGTATACTCAGATCTTGTACTTTAGTAGAAGTACTCAGATATTGTACTTAATAAAAGTAGAAGTACTCAGATCTTGTACTTGAGTAAAAGTAGAAGTACTCAGATCTTGTACTTGAGTAAAAGTAGAAGTACCAGAGTGTAGGAATACTCTGTTACAGTAAAAATCCTGCATTCAAAATGTTCCTCAAGTGAAAGTAGAAAAGTATTATAAAAATACTAAGAGGCATGAAAATACATTTTCAAAATGCTCAACAGTGCTGCCAAAATTATAAACTGACTGCTACACAATTAAAATAAATGCTTTTATATATTTCTATTAGATGTAACTCTTTGGTGTTTCTGTTATTATTACCTGCTGCTTTAGTTGTTCTGACTGCTAAAATCCTCTGTTATTCCTAATTTTAAACCCGATATTCCGTGGGGTCGGGGGGCTCGGATCCTTGTCACCTTTTTCATACCTGATGAGTTTGCATCCCTGACTACAGTTGCTTTAGCGTGTAGAAGCTAGTAAGCCTACTATTTGATTTGTTTTAGATAGGCATCTGCATCAGACAGCATATGGTTATTGAAATAAATATATATGCAATTACGACATACAAGATGTGCCTTTAATAAATCTCACACTGCTAAGGCAGCCGGCGGTTCCACCAGGGGCGTCAATCCCGGGGGGGGGGGATTTCATCCCCCCCTTAGCTTCAGATTGGACCCCCCTAAGTCATTTAGAATAATACAAATAAATGTTAAAATAATATTTTTTTTGATAATAAATCAGTAAAATCAGGCAAAAATAAGAATTAAATAGCATAACCCTAACCTAACACCGAAATAAAGTAACCAAAAACCGAAAAGAAACTAACAAAATCCGCCATTATCCGGCAAATTTTTGCGCACAATTTCGGCGCGACCGCCACGACGACTCAGAAGGTGCCCTTTTTTTTCTCTTGAGCACCTGCCCCTATAAATGTCTGTGCACGCCACTGACTGTGTGCCAGGAGGTTGCAGTTTCAACGAGCGTTGGCTAGCAGAAGACAAATACAAGCCATGGCTAAGACGAGGGTCAAGCCCACGAGTAGCCTCCTGCAAAGTTTGCAAACAAAACGATGCGAGAGTCTGCGCTGACGAGCCACATGAAAGGTACGCCGTAGTAGAGCATTTTAGATTAGGCTAATGTTGCATGTTACGTTTGTTTAAGCTAACGTGAGCGAGCTGAATAGCGAACTCGATTGAGGGATAATAATAATTGCAGGGGACAATCATTTCAGAGGAGCGTACCTATGTTATGTGCGTTACAGTCGCTATCGTGGTCACGAAATATAATCTATTGATTCGACACAGAGCGATTTTGAAAGCAATGTATTTCTACTGGTAGTATGTTTCGTGCCTAAACCAAATGTGACTTGCTCTATCGAAATCAGTCACATTGACCCGAAGACACATTTTCGTTTGTATTACTGGTCTGGGGGAAGCTCGCGAGTGTGTTTGTGTATTTTTGCGTTTGTTTCCCGGGGAAACACTTACAAGAAACACCGGCTGTTGTTATGCTTGCTGTGACGTTAAGTTACTCAGTTCTCCGCTTGTAATTATGCCGAAGCTTCAAAGTTGTATTTATCATCTGAATTTGCCGAAACAAGTTTAATATTCTGAAAGCCAAGACTTTGTTTATTTGAAAACAGATGAAAACAAACTGTCTTTATATGAAATTGAAGTATTATACAAGTAAAACTACATTTTGCTTTAATCCCATGTAATTGTAGAATGAACACAGTCTTCCTTTGAAGATGTATAAGTCAGGTGTCTTGAGTAGTCAAAATTACCTACAAATTATTGTACACATTTGTAAATATTATTTTCCACTTGTTACTATTGTGAGTCTATTTTTATGCAGCTCTGCGTGATTTTGTGGCTACAATTCAGACTAATACACTACCAGAGGTGGAATAAGTACTCAGGTATTGTACTTGAGTAAAAGTATAAGTACTCAGATCTTGTAGTGAAATTATAAGTACTCAGATCTTGTACTTAGCTAAAGTAGAAGTACCAGAGTGTAGGAATACTCTGTCACAGTAAAAGTCCTGCATTCAAAATATTCCTCAAGTGAAAGTAGAAAAGTATTCTCATCCAAATATAGTTAAAGTAGTCATTATGCAGATTGGTCCATTTCAGAATAATATATATGATATGTTTTCTAATGATTGATCATGAAAGTGTTCTCAAAGCTGGTAAAGGAGCAGCTAGTTTGAATGACTTTGTAGACTGCAGGGTAGCTTCTAGCTTGTGGATTTACTCCAGGTGGAACTAAAGTCTGATTTAACACTTGATTATATTTACCATCATTCATCCACATCTGTGAAGTAACTAAAGGTATTAAATACATGTAGTGGAGTAGAAGTACACCATGTACCTCTGAACTGTAGAGCAGTAGAAGTACACCATGTACCTCTGAACTGTAGAGGAGTAGAAGTACACCATGTACCTCTGAACTGTAGTGGAGTAGAAGTACACCATGTACCTCTGAACTGTAGTGGAGTAGAAGTACACCATGTACCTCTGAACTGTAGTGGAGTAGAAGTACACCATGTACCTCTGACGTGTGTTTACTGCCAACCTAAAAGTACCTCAAAAATAGTAATCAATAATGTATTGAAAAGTTATTTGGCTGATTGTTGTATATTGGCTCAGACAGGTTATATGGGAGGCCCAGTCTACGTACAGATCACTAATTTTGAAATATTAAACTTAGTTTTCTTTTCTTTAATTTTTCATCCTCGTGTAGAAGGCTATCACGAAACACACATTTGGTTGTTTATAGCATAAAGAACATCTGATTTAATGTGAGGTAGGGAAATAATCATTTGAGTATGTGTATATAAATATGTAATTTACAACAGCTGTAAGATGCTTGAAAAGCTGGAAAATGCACCTTGAAAATGCTTGAAAAGTGCTTGAATTTGACTTTGGAAAAGGTGTAAGAACCCTGCTGATACTACAGCTCAGTGAGGTAAAGGACTCTTGAGTGTTTAGATAGTTCACTTTAGTCTAAGTTCAAACAGTTTGGTCAAAATGTATGTAAACACATATTTCCAAGGCACTCTTTTATAATTATTGGGATAAACAGGTTTGAAATCATTCCAATGTATACTATAGGACAGTAACCAAAGATATCCTTTAAAACTGGAGAGATACAAAAAAAAAAATGCATAAATAAATAAATGTTAAGGTAAAATAAGATATGAATGAACAACACAAATAAAATAAGTTACATTCATTTGTTATTGGCTATGGTAGATTATTGGTTATGTTCACATACTTATTTGATTACATTCACTTGTCTAAGATGACAACAGAGACTTTCGACCCAAAACCAGCTGTTGACTTGTGGATGCAAGCATCTAATCGCAGACTCAACCTGAGAGAAAGTAGTAGGCCTACATCATCAGCTACCATGTCTGACAGAGAGGAAGACAGTGAGGAGAACAGTCAGGAGGGTAGTGATGACAGCTTGTAGGATTACTGCTCGTGCTAATGTTGTCTTGTGTTCACCTCTGCATGTGTGTTCTGTGTTCACCTCTGCATGTGTGTTCTGTATTAACCTCTGTGTGTTCTGTGCCGTGTGTCTGGCAAATAAAGTCAAGACCCCCTCAAAAGTTACGGTTTATTTCATTTTAAGGATGAGCACCAAGCAACATCTCCAGGTGCTCCTTTGAGAACCAGGGCAAAAAAGTTATGTGCACCCCTGTATATAAACATATGTAATGTGAAATAAAAGGGTAACATTAAAAGATATATATACTATATATATACAGTGTTTCCCACAGATCTGAAATATACTTGGGGGGGTGCTGGTAGCGGGGGGGGGGGGGGGGGGTGGTGTGTGACATGCCATGCCTTTGTGACGTGCAACAACATTAACCTTTCTGTTGGTAATTTTGTTAGCAGACCCTTCACGCCATGGCTGAGCGAACAGGTACAGGCAGGGCCCATAGTGATAGCCCTATAGTTTACATTTACTACCCACAAATAAACATATGGACATGGGTTACTATTTTCTTTTAAATGGTAAATGTATTTAGGAACCAATCCATGTGATTTTAAGTGGGGGTGGACCTCAAATCCTCTAGGGGGGTCCGGGGGCATGCTCCCCTGGTAAGATTTGTTATTTTATTTTGGAGTTAAATGCATCAATCTGGTGCATTTTGAGGGGAAAATAAAGAGACTAGATCTATGGGAACACCTATATGAAACAGAACTGTATACATTTCAATAATCATAAAGCTTATCTTACCTTTGTTCCCCTAGGTAACTTTTTATTTTTATTCATGCATATTTTACTAATCACTCACTACCCCCTCAAATGGAAATATGTGTTTACATAAATGGTGACCACACCGTTTGAGACCCACTGAGAACTTAGACTAAGTTAACTATCTAAACACTCAGAGAGTGCTTTACCTCACCTGAGCTGAGGTTATCCCGAGCTTGAATGACACACAGAGACCAATCAAGGGCTTTGATTTATGATCTGTATGACAGTGGCCATGTCGGCAGGCCACATCATGTGGACAGCCAGTCACCCCTCGGGAAACCCCCCGGTCCTCCCGATGGCCAGTCCGGGACTGGGTACAGGAGGCGTAGAGCGAGGGATAATTGTCCACAAGTTAATCGATCGCAGGTGGCGTCGTGGTCGCGGACGAAAACAAATAATATATATTATAAAAAAAACTAAATGGGTCACGAAATATACTTGGGCGGCCGTTAATATACCTGGGCGGCCCAAGTATATTCTATGTGTGGGAAACCCTGATATATATATATATATGTTCTTCTACCACACTACAATTCAGAGGTAAATAGTGTACTTTTACTCCACTGCATTTATTTGATATCTTTAGTTACTTTACAGATTTGGATTGATGATGATGATGATGATGATGATGATGATGATGATGATGATGATGTGAAATATAATCAAGTCTTAAATCAGACTTTAAAAGTTCCACCTGGAGTAAATTCACAAGCTACCCTGCAGTATACAGTACAAAGTAATTCAAACTTTAGTGTTATCAAAGCTGGTAAACCTTTACCAGCTTTGATAACACTTTAATGATCAATTATATATATTGTTCTGAAATTGACCAATCTGTATAATGGGTACTTTTACTTTTGGTACTTTAAGTATATTTTGATGCTAATACTTCTGTACTTTTACTTGAGTAACATTTTGAATGCAGGACTTTTACTTGTAACTTGTTTTCCTACAATCTGGTACTTCTACTTTTACTCAAGTACAAGCTCTGAGTACTTCTCCAAGCTCTGGATGCTCGGCACTTAGTGGTTGCAAAGACTTGAAAAGCGCTATATAAATGCAGTCCATAATCTTCATTTCTCTTTCCAGGTTTTGGAATCACCTCCACATTCTGGGACCACCCGTTCAACACATTGATTCCCGATGAGAAATTCTAACAGAGAAAGGGCTCTCCTGAAGGGCCACAGGACTTAGCACCCAGCCCCCATGCTACATTCAGCCTTATTCCAATCTCTGCACCCATACTTTTCAGAACCAAGGAGGAAGTTCTTCTTCTGAGGACTCCTGCGTCTCCACAACTACTCCACAGATCCATTCTGTATCACATATCATCCTGCTTTTTGTTTCCATTTTGCTACACCTTTGTGAAGACCAGTCTGCAATCTTTCTGCACAGTTATCATTCCTTTCTGTGCCATTTATTGTATAACCCAAACAACATCTACTACGGCTGTGCTCTTCTCCACAGAGCCATTCACAATTATGTACAGCTAGGTGTTATACCATGGATAAAAAGGGAGGAACACACGAAAAATCAAAAGACACACGTCGGTGTGCTTCTATGTAATTTCATTGCATTTTCATTCATGTTTAGGGAATTACATCCTGTAATGCTTTAGAAAACACTGAAGAAACTAAACAAATATTCACAACACACTCTTCCTGGTTCCTAAAAAATATCGCTAACAGCATAACACAAATTTAATGCGGACCCATTTGTGGGAAAATGTTCACACACACAAAGCGCACACACACGTCCCTCAGAGGAGGACAGAGGGAAAAGTGATAGATGGTTGGTGAATTTGGAAGACAGAGAAGGGAAATGGTGTGACAATAAATGTGTGTAGGGACTAAATGACTGGTGAACTTACATTGCAATCCTTCCTCCCCACTATCTGCAGCCTAAAAATACTCCTCTACATTATGTTCTGTCTGCCATTAAGCTACAAAGCCTCGCTGCTATTACTCTGTTAGACTGCAGGTTTGAAACAGTCAACATAAGCTCCTCCCAACATGCTTTTCCTCAATGTTGTTTTTGGTTTCAGATTTCATTTGGCAGTTTAGACTTAATTTATTAACTATAACCAAAGCTGCAGAAGTGAAATGCTATTGTAGGGCACTCATGCAATGCACCGTTAATGTAAAGCAGAGTCTTGAGTTTTGTTTACGCAAATGAAAAGTGCGCTTATAAATAAAATATATTATTATTATATCTGAAACCACTGTGGAGATATATTTTTGCAAGTCCTTTGTAATATTCCCTCCGTTTCCTTTCTGTTTTGTCATTATTGATTACACAACAATGTTAAAAAAAATACTTGCTTTGTACAGAATTGCACCAGCTTTACGTAGTCAGAGGATGTTAAAATGTGTCAGAGGGGCAGAGAGGCATGAGGCCAGCCTGTTGGACCTCCTGCTGTGGGGATCTCGGGGTCAAAGGTCACCGTGTTAGCTAGGTGACAAAGGTGGATTTATTTTTTAAATGTCAACAAGCAGAACTTGGGTCTTTTTAAGGTTATTTTTAGTCTCCACCTTCAGGTCTCACTCCATCCCTTTAAAGCCCCTTCGTTAGCTGCCTTGCAGACCCCCGCAGGATGACGATGGATGAACATCTGACTGGACAGCAGGAGGTCTTACAGTCACTGGCGGATCCTCATAATGTCTCTTCTAAACACTCGACAACATCACTGATAATTAAAGCAGAACAAACGTGATTAAAAACATTTACATACATGCAGTAAAAATATATAACTGCAGAAAATCATTTTAATCTACTTTTCTAGTGTGAAGAAAGGGTCAGATTTAAATAATATATATGTATATGTACACATGTAAAATAAAATGCTGAATCTATTTCAAAGAGTTTTGAACAGTAAAATAATTCCTTATTGCAAAGCTTATTTTTCTTAAATTCAGAGCAGCAATAATAATTATGGCTTTATGTAAAGAGGGCTACGGAAGAGGATTAAGGCAATATCAATTGAGACAAAATAATATATATATTATATTATTAATTTTAATATAATATTTCTTAATACAAATCTCAGAATTCTGACCTTTTACTCAGAATTTTTTTTTCATTTTTGGTCAGATCTCAGAAATAATTTCACATGTATCTGTAGATGGCTGTGTCCTTTTATCTGCAGCATGCATATCGGGTTATTCAAAACCATAACTCTCTGTCTTAATTTGCGCACAGATGATATTGAATGTTTAAGGTATCATGGAGTAGGAATTCTGTCTTTTATATAATAACAATATATGACAAAAATGTTTAAAAAAGAACCAAAATGATTGTTCCTGTTGGTAAAGAATGATGAATAATAATAATGAGGATGATGAGTGTGATGAAGCATACTGATTGTGACGACTGCTCGGCGAAGTGAAACCATTACACCTGTTGTGCGCACGGATCTTATTTATGTATATTTATGATACAGATGAAAAGACAACAGCACAAACTTTGCCTATGCTAAGTTATGCGGCGTAAAATAATATTTTCTAAATCTGTTTACTTTAATATCTTCTATTTTGGAATTTTAAATGTCAATACAAATGCAAACGTATTTGTAAATAAATGTCTGTATATTTCTGATGTCAGTCTGTCTTGTCCTTTTTGTTTGATCTCTTTTAGTTATACATTTATAGAGGCACTTTAACAGTATAACTGAAATGATGACCCCAAAAGTGCTCCTTATCGTTCAGCTTATGAAATGTTCTTGTGTACATTTCCTGCAAGTATCAGTTGATACTAGTAAAAACATTGACTATGGTCATAATAATAATAATGAATGAAAGCATTTCAACACTTGAGCATGATACTACCTGAAGAAAAGAAGTCCATTAAAAACAATTTAAAATAAATGATTGAAAAAATATAGAAATCAAAAACAAATAATTAAATAAATGCATAGTAAATATGGAAATAAGGAAATGAATGCATTGCATACAAAAATCAAGGTTGAGAATATACATAAATCAATATAAGTGAATATGAGTGTAAGGCAAGGAAGATTTTTTTTAAATATTGAAGTTAAAAGCATCAATCTGGTGCACTTTGAGAGCAACATTAAGAGATCTATGGATACATCTCTCAACACCCAGATGAAACACAACTGTAAGCAGATGTTCTTTTTCTTTATGGATATTTTACAAATCACTCCCCTTTCAAACTGTATTCTTGTTTTACTGCCATATAGTATTTCATAACTGTTTTTCCTTTATTCTCTTATTTGTTTTATAACTATAATGATCATATGAGGGCTCTGTTCTTGGTCCCCTCCTCTTCTCCCTGTACACAAACTCGCTCGGATCAACACATCCTCACTCCCAGGTCGGCCTATGTTGACGTTATGTCAAGTCCCCTGTCGGCTTTTTCCAACGCAAGGGGGGAGCCTTAGCGTCCATTTTCAACGCAAGGGGGGGGGGGGGCCTTAGCGTCCATTTTCAGTTTTCCGGGATGTCCATATGCTTCTATGGACGCTCATGGAAGCACGGCATTCGTTTGTGTCGGCTGCCCTTAAAGGCAATGTGAGCGTCCATTCTCATTGGATAACGGAGAATTGTACACCCGGAAGTAAGTATTCCCCTTACTGTCAATTGATTTTACAGTGATATCTGCACTACTCATCGACTAAAAAACACCAGATTATCCTTGTTAATTACAATTATTGATTGGTTTAAATTGTGTGCAATGCTTTTGTATTTTTCCCCTTCGATTCGGAGAAACAAATATGTTTTCGGAGTAAAGGATGGCAGAAGACACTACACTACCCAGAATCCCCAGCTATCGTTTGGACTACACCATGTGCTCTGTTTGACGTCACGTGATCTTCAAATTTCTCCCTGCAGAAAAAAAAAACATGGCCGAACTTCGTTTTATTCTCGATGGAAAATGCCTATTTTAAAGTTAGTTTGGTCATTAAAATGCGTTTTGATGTCATTTGATGCGAAAAATATGAGTTGTTATTTCAGATTATGTGTGCAGTGGATGTACATGATCTTTAGTTTGCTAGTTATTACGAAGATTACTTCAGGAAATTGCGTCCATAACGTTTTCATTGTTACCAAGGTGGTTGCTAGGGACGCTGCTATCGATATTATTTCTGTTATGTTGTGTAACTGTTTAATGGTGTTATCTTTATTGCTACCCCCTTCCCCGTCAATGTATAGTGTTGGTCCACAGCGCAAACATATTAGTTTAACAAAATCCGCATCTAAAGATAGCCTACGTTATTTTCCCCTGTGCAATTCCAGTCTCACATCTCACAGCACATCGTCATTAACAAATAACGGAAACAGACCGAAAACATTTTTAAAAAATACAATAATACTTTATTCCGAGTGTGCTTGCTTTTCTCTTTGGAAGTCATCACATAACGGCATTGTAATACACGGTTCGGCTGCATTAAATATTACATATCTGCCGTAGTTCTGTATTTATAGAGCCCTGATGAGAAGACTTCTAGACAAACAGGAGGAACTGAAAACGTGACGTGGATCATAAATATATCAGCCATTAAACAACATCTTACATTTATTTTCACACAATACGTCTCCTTGCAGTATCAACACTAATTCGGCTGACTTTTATATTTGATCCAATTGGTAGATAAGCTGTATTTACACCATAAAGGTGCACAGCTGATATAAAGGGACACCTAGTGGTTAAAGCATGTTATTGAATTTCATTATTTTTATTATTAGATATTAATAGGATCCCTATAAAGTATATTCATTACTCGTTATTCTCTACTAATAGTTAATTAAAGACTGTATATAATGACTATTTTGCACATCCCTTTCAAGATTTCAAGATTTTCTAAGGTTTATTGACATATCATATAGGCCTACACAACTATGGTGTAGTTATGCATTGAATGAAAAACTTGGGTCGCAGGTTCCTCAATAGTGCATTACAAGACATCTATCAATATTTGTGCATACCTCCAGCAATGTTAACTATGTTGAAGCACTTATTTTAACTGATATTATACATAATGTATTATACTCTTATAAGATGTATGTAGATATTTCATCTCCGACCTTGTCAGGTATTGAACAATCAATAAATAAAGAACACAGAATTGTTGAATATAAAACACAGAATTTGTGTGATTATACTAAATGATTTACAAATAAACACCACTGCATATTTAACTGTTACACATGCTGATGTAACGCAAATGTTCCAACTTGAGATCAATAAAGTATATCTTATCTTAAGCTGATCGATGGCTACTGCCATATTTGCAAAATGTGCCTCTGAACCTTGACAAGTGCATGTTTCAGGCTTATCAATTAATGTAATGTAATGTAATGTTATCAATTAACAACAGGGGTCACAAACATAAGACCAGCTGTTAAATAAAGCTCTTCTGACCTTAGCTGGCATGTGTGTATATATATATTAATGCTGCCCATTATGGGCACAAGCAATTTTCACCCATTTATTAATTATATGTTTTAAATGTGAGTGTTTCCTATCCCCTAAACCTCCAGGGATGTACACAGTTTAAAACTGGCAACTTCTTATTATGGGAAATACGAAAACGTCTTTTAAAACTACAACTCCCAGTAGAGACGTGCCATAGATACAGAACATGTTGCGAAACAGAATAGCCAGCATTTGTAGTTCTGGGGACAGGGTGAGGGAGGGGGGACGCGGTGGACCCGTTCAAATCCAGTTTTGGACAGTCTGCCGTGATTCCATCCCATTTCAAGTGCTGTTCGAGGCTCGGCGTAACCCTCGGAGCACACTCTCCAATCACAGAGCTTGAGGACTATCACGGGGTTTGTCAAACAGAGCACATGGTGTAGTCCAAACGATAGCTGGGGATTCTGGGTAGTGTAGTGTCTTCTGCCATCCTTTACTCCGAAAAAACATTTGTTTCTCCGAATCGAAGGGGAAAAATACAAAAGCATTGCACACAATTTAAACCAATCAATGTTGTGTAATTAACAAGGATAATCTGGTGTTTTTTAGTCGATGAGTAGTGCAGATATCACTGTAAAATCAATCGACAGTAAGGGGAATACTTACTTCCGGGTGTACAATTCTCCGTTATCCAATGAGAATGGACGCTCACATTGCCTTTAAGGGCAGCCGACACAAACGAATGCCGTGCTTCCATGAGCGTCCATAGAAGCATATGGACATCCCGGAAAGCTGAAAATGGACGCTAAGGGCCCCCCCCTTGCGTTGAAAATGGACGCTAAGGCCCCCCCCCTTGCGTTGGAAAAAGCCGACAGGGGACTTGACATAACGTCAACATAGGCCGACCTGGGAGTGAGGATGTGTTGCTCGGATCAGTCATTAGCCCGCATGATTTTTCTTACCACTGCTACGCTGACGACACCCAATTAATTCTGTCGTTTCCCCGCTCAGAGACCCAGGTCGTTGCACGCATCTCTGCTTGTCTAGCTGACATCTCTCAGTGGATGTCTGCTCATCACCTCAAGCTCAACCTTGACAAGACTGAGCTGCTCTTCCTTCCGGGAAAAGATTGTCCCACTCTTGACCTAACAATCAACATCGGCACCTCAGTTGTTTCCCCGACTCAGACTGCAAGGAATCTGGGTGTGACCCTAGATAACAACCTGTCCTTCACTGCAAACATCGCTGCTACAACCCGTTGCTGCAGATACACGCTTTACAACATCAGGAAGATACGTCCCCAGCTGACACAGAAAGCGACGCAGGTTCTGGTCCAGGCTCTCGTCATCTCACGCCTAGACTACTGCAACTCCCTCCTGGCTGGTCTACCTGCATGTGCCATCCGACCTCTGCAGCTCACCCAGAATGCAGCGGCTCGTCTGGTCTTCAACCTTCCTAAATTTTCCCACACCACTCCGCTCCTCCGCTCCCTTCACTGGCTTCCGGTAACTGGTAGAATCCACTTCAAGACACTGGTACTTGCTTACCATGCTGCCAATGGATCTGGCCCTTCGTACATCCAGGACATGGTTAAACCGTACACCCCAGCGCGTGCACTACGCTCTGCATCAGCCAAACGACTCGCTGCACCCTCGCTGCGAGGGGGACCCAAGTTCCCATCAGCAAAAACACGTGGGTTTGCTATCCTGGCTCCAAGATGGTGGAATGAGCTCCCCATTGACATCAGGACAGCTGATAGCTTGCACATCTTCCGGCGCAAACTGAAAACTCATCTCTTTCGACTCCACTTCGAGCGATAGATTTATTAACAAAGCACTTATATACTAATAAAGGACTGGCTTATCTAAAGCCAGTTGAGTAGCACTTGAAATGTTTGGCTCTATGAAACCTGATGTACTTATATGATCCTGTTTTCTTCAAGGTTGTGTCTTCCTGGTCGAATGTACTTATTGTAAGTCGCTTTGGATAAAAGCGTCAGCTAAATGCAATGTAATGTAATGTAATATGAAGGTGTGCCGCGGAAATAATCTTTTGAATAATTTGTGACCAAACCGTTTGAGACCCACTGAAATAACTTAGACTAAAGTTAACTATCTAAACACTCAGAGTCCTTTAGCTCACCTGAGCCTCTCAGTCTGAGAGGAGAGCTCTCCTCCAGCTTGTTGTGGAACAAACAGCTCCGTATGTCCGTTAGTGTAGCT